AGGGAAGATGTCCAATTTTACATCCCAAACCCCCCTGCTAAAGCTACATCTTGTTACGCCAGATTCCTTCTACGACTAAAGACCTCTTAGCACCTGGGTGTTCCTGCGATTAGGTTTGTACTCTCAGGGAAGAAGCAGAATAAGAATGAAACCAAAGAAAATCAAACAATTGATATGCTGGGTTTCCCTACTAATAAATACCCTAATGAGAGCTAAGGGAATGAGCATGTATCATTGTCCTGCTAGGCTGGCCTCATTTCCCTATCAAAGAGAGATCTTCCTTTCCGCTCGGCTGTTCTCCTGCGCAGGAGGGCCGTAGGCAGCCATGGCGCCCAGCCGGAATGGCATGATACTGAAGCCGCACTTCCACAAGGATTGGCAGCGGCGCGTGGCCACGTGGTTCAACCAGCCGGCCCGGAAGATCCGCAGGTGAGTGGGCGCGGCGCGGGGTCCCCAGGCACCCCCGGGCCTGGTCCGCGGAGACCTTGCCCTGGTCGGGGCCTTCGGTGGGTCGGTGCGACCGCGGGCACGCGGGGCGGGTGCACGCTGGGGGTGACTGCGGCTGGGCTTCTCTCTGAACAGACGCAAGGCCCGGCAAGCGAAAGCGCGCCGCATCGCCCCGCGCCCCGCGTCGGGACCCATCCGGCCCATCGTGCGGTGCCCCACGGTGCGGTATCACACCAAAGTGCGAGCCGGCAGGGGCTTCAGCCTGGAGGAGTTAAGGGTGGCCGGCATACACAAGAAGGTGGCCCGGACCATTGGAATTTCTGTGGATCCAAGGAGACGGAACAAGTCCACCGAGTCCCTGCAGGCCAACGTGCAGCGACTGAAGGAGTACCGCTCCAAGCTCATCCTCTTCCCCAGGAAGCCCTCAGCCCCCAAGAAGGGAGACAGTTCTGTGAGTACAGCGCTCGCCGCCTCCTCTGGGTGCAGCGGGGTGTTGGGCGATGGCAATGGAGAGGCTTCCTCCAGTTGTTGTCCCTGTGTCCACCTGGGCTAAGAAGAAAATGCGTTTGCCTATCTTTTTTCATCCCCCATGCATGGCAAGTTGCGCATAAGTAGTAAAGAATTGATGTGGCCAGGGTGCGGTGGCTCACGCCTGTAATCCTAGCACTCTGGGAGGCTGAGGCGGGCGGAATCCTCGAGGTCAGGAGTTCAAAACCAGCCTGAGTAAGAGTGAGACCCCATCTCTACTATAAATAGAAAGGAATTAATTGGCTAACTAATATGTAGAGAAAAATTAGCTGGGCATGGTGGCGCATGCCTGTAGTCCCAGCTATTCGGGAGGCTGAGGCAGGAGGATTGCTTGAGCCCAGGAGTTTGAGGTTGCTGTAAGCTAGGCTGACTCCAGGGTACTCTCTCTAATCTGGGCAACAAAG